TATTTTATATTTTAGTCACGGTACAATTGAGCCTTGTTAGCGCTGTAAAAGAAGCTTATACAATATCCATAGTTCATATATCCTTGCGGAAGAAGCTAAGAATGCCAGACACATACATTCATCTGTGCGACATACATATATATATACTATATATAATAAAGATCTTTTTTTTGTATATAAATTGGACATTTAATTAGCTCTAATTTTACAATTTATTTGATATGTTGCGAAGCATTTGATAGCATAATTTGTTATTATTCTCTCTTCTCTTTCCTTTTATAAAATTCAACTAAACTACATCAATTAGTATAATAATAATTAGACATATTTAAGCGTAATCTCACATAGAGCTGCTGAAAGTTTGAGGAAAGCGCATTAAGCTTATCTTAAAATATTTTCTATTTGTTTTACTTTCAGTTAGTTAAAATAAGTCAACAATAGTTTCATTTTGTATATATGTAAATGGTATAAAAGCGTTTTTCGAGTTTACTCTATATATAATTGAGCACACTTAAGTATAAGACTATATCAGATGGGATAATACAATACAATACAATACATACATATGTAGATAGACAACCATTGAACACAACAGCAGATATTAGATATGGCTTTAGCTGGTTTCTCTCTTACAATGATATGATCAAATCTGTGCGTAGCTAGACTTAAATACAGTTATCTTTATGGCAAAACAGGCATTACATAAAAGGCTTACGAAGCTAAGCGTTTGAGCTGGAATTCGTATACAGTTGCGGTCATACAAATAGTAGCAGTTGCAGAAAAACACTTTGTGATAAATTGAATATCAAATATCTAAACTAATAACAATATGTGTTAAAATTAATACGCTTATATGAATTTAAGACTAAATTTTGAGTGTTCTCTACTTTTATGACCGCAACTGTAAACACATATATATTAAAATCATTTAGCTAAAACAAAAATCACATGCGAATTAAACATACTCGAACTTAATGCTACTTACATTAACAACAACAATGACATTATTAATAACAATTACGATGCTCATCAAATTGATTACTGAGGCGATGCTGGAGCTGCTGCTGCTGTTGCATTGCGCTGCAGCACATTGTTGAATCGCAGCTTCAGCGGTGAAAAGTCGATTTTCTTAAAGCGCGGCAATGAGGCAAACTTTTTCATTGTGTTGCTGGTTGACTGTGGCAACTGTTGCTGCTGCTGCTGTTGCTGTTGCAGCTGCTCTTTGGGCGAGTTGCTAGCTGACTGAGATTGTGTCATGGCGACCTTTAGCTGCTGCTGCTGCTGCTGCTTGGTGGGTGAGTTGCCGAACTTGGCGAGTGTTGCGTATTTTTGTAGCATGCGTGTGGCACGCTCAGCTGCCTGATAGCAGTGCTCGTATTCTTCCTCCAATTGACTCGATTTCGATTTGTTTTTGGACTTGGATTTGCTGCTTGGTTCGGCCGCTTGGCCGTCGTCAAATTTGAAATCAATATTCTGCAGCATGACCAGCTGCAGCAGCTCCTCCTCGCCCTGCAGGTCATTGACATTATTGTTGTTATTGTTATTATTATGACTAATACTTTGTCGCTTTGTTGCATGGGTGACGGCATAGACACCCTCGGAGATTTTGTGGGCGGCAGTCTTTTTGTTTAACGTTTTAGTCTTGCTCGACGCTGATGATGATGTGGATGTGGATGTGCTTGTGGATGTGGCTGATGGTGATGCAGTGCTTGATTTGTGCCTTTGTTCGATAATTTGTTGGGGCGATGATATATAGAGATTCTCTTTGCGCTCCCGCCGCACCTTGGCGCTGACCAAATGACGCACACTTGGCGCTGTTTCGGCGCTGCTGGGACTACGTCGCTTCGACTTGAGCGTATCGCAGCTATTGGGATAGTACGAGGGTATCTTGTCGTCCACGCTGATGATGGACTTGCGCGGCGTTTGGTAGTAGTCCTCCTCCTCCGCCTCGCGCTGCTCCGCTGTGGTGGGCGTCTGTTGTAGCTTCGGTGGCAGCGCTGGCACCAACGGCGATTCGGTGGGCGTGCTGGTGCTCAGGCCAAAGCCAAGATTGAGCGGCGGCTGCTGCTCCAGCTCCTGGGATGCCTTCACGGCCAGCAGATTCTCATACAGATGCTCGGCCAGGACACTGTTGCTGTTGCTGTTGCT